TTGGATCAACTAAGAGATGTAAAACCCGTATGCTAAGGATGTTATATTGCTGCATAAGTAAGAGACTTTGACAAAAAAAAGTTTACGCCATCACAATTTTCACAAAGCTGTGCTGTTAAATTACCATAAGTATTAATGTCTTTCAAAATAAAATATCAAGATATGAAATAGACGTGTCAGACTCTGTGGTATCTTTAATCGCAAGCTTACAAGAATATATAGTGTCACCATAAAAATATCAATACAAAAAGAGGTTTGCTAATAACGGGTATATATGCTATTAGTACCAATGGAAAATTAAATTGATTATTAAACGACCTGGTCTTTAGAAACTACTTAGATGTTGTCGATCCCAAACTTCAGCTTCTTTATAATGTCATCTTAAGAGTACTTGTCTGTTCCATCAGAATGTGTTTTAACAATGTAAGTTTGGAAATGAACAATGTCAAGGTAAGTAAATTTGCGAGTTCAATTTTTATTGAAAAAGCAGCTGTGTATCTATAAGTTTAGATTTCAATTAATATTGGGGAATAGTTGTATATAGAAATTGGTCTTTATCATGGTAAATATTGTGATTTCAAATATTCCAAAGGGTCCTTGGAATTTTTACTATCAATATCGGATTTACACCACTTCTGAAACATTGTTGGACGCTTCTCTGGAAGATTTCCTTCTTTACTGTTAAAATTATAGTGATTGTTTAAAAAGATGCTTTGTAGAACATTTACTGGAACTTGCTATGAATCATTGTAAGGATTTATGAATTTTCTGAATATAGATATAATAATTCGAATTCAATTTGGTTGTTCACACAACTGAAAATGTGTAGTATATAATCAATTTCGACAATATCAATGCCAGCTTTTATTTATGAATTCCTTCTATCAAAGTTTAACCAAAGTGCCATCTGCTGAATATAATTACTAGCAGTTTATTTCTCATTAATAATGTAAACGTTTTATGCCAAGCCTTCAATCTAAACTGACTAACTACAATGCTATTTGAAATTAGATACAACAAAGAAGTGGACACGAATCTGTTTACGATATAAGTGCTGAATAAGATTTGTAAAGAATGCAGCGCCGAAAAAAAATGGTTAAGACTCGGACACAAACACACCAAACATAATGACGTCTCAATGATCAATATAATCTAAATGTCTTAAACAAATACTTTATCTATTTTCGAGACGCCATAATGAGGGGAGGTAATTATGCCTTGGACGAAAAACTATTGAGCATTAGAATTATTTTAAAAGAATATTCAATTTTATGTGGTTGGAAATTTGAATTGAATTTAATTCACGAATCGTACAATGTACAGTATTCTTATTTTTCACGAATGCGAAGCATAGGACGAAATACCAAAAAATCATCTTTTATTTTACATTTTCTTGGATTTTTTTCCTTTTGCATCTGTCTAAGAAATTTGAAAATGTGTTCTATGTGACATTGATATATACTAAAAAAAGATCATTCACAATGATTTTACGATGTCTATTCTCTTTGTGATTCATTTTTGATAATACAGATCTGAAAGTTAAAACAATTAAGTTGACGAACTTAACGGATTCTTGAAATACCAGATTTGTTTAAATAAAGCTAGAAACCAATACATTCTTACATTCAAAAGATTTGATTTTGATGTTGCACATTTTGAATTGATTGAAAGAATTGAAGAATTTGTTATAACACGCTACGCTGTAAAGCAATTGTTCAAAACTTATTATTATTTACTTTAAATAGTATATTACACATACCCCCCCCCCCTAGTGTTAATGTTTATTTTAAAATATTTTTCTATCTTATTCTTTTTTACTTTTTGAAATACAGGTGTATTTTTATTTTTCCTTTGGTTTTTCGTTTCCTCATTTTAGACCATTATAATTATGTGCCTCCATAATAAGAAGTGGTCTAGGAAAAAGTTGTGTTAAAATAGATCACGTGCTGTTAATCACAAACTACTTTCTTGGTTCTTTAAACTCATTTTGAAGACAAGCGTGCCTCGTTTTGAACTTAAAATTAGAATTTAACAGTGCAAAATTTGATCATTTTCTGAACAAATGATTGTAGTGAAAACATTAATGCCCATTGTGCATATTTCTTTGGATTGTTTAAGGCTCTGCTGAATTGTGTAGCTGCGCAGTTCTAAAAAGCATATCAAAAGCACTTTTCTGCAAAAGTATAAATTATTTACACAAAACATGCATGCAGTTATGCGTATTTATTTATTTTTTATCTAATATTAACATCTATAAAGCGTAAATTTTACGAGTAAAATGCAATCAAAGGTGATGTACATGCATAAACAATTTTAATGCTTTTAAAAAAAGTTAATCTACAAAATAAAATGTTATAAAATTACCATATATTCTCGCCTATGAGTCGGTTGCAATTTTGGGGGTTATTTCGCAGGGATTTGCCATTGACCTGCTTATAAGTCGTTTCAGCTTTAATTCAGAATCAGATGACAATTTCTTATAAATGGTTTGAAGTTTTAGTCTTATTTCAATTGATATTTTTAGCAATGAAGTCAATATTTAACTTTAAATCATTACAAAATTAAAAAAATACCCTCTTAAGATAAAAAATATAAAATTACTAAATAAATGTATACAAATACTTGTACTTTATGTATAATCTTAGAATACATAAATGATATCATATATACAGATTTTGTTCAATGAAAACAGTTGGAAATGCGGATAGAAAATTTCACTTGACGTTGAATTGACGTTTCACCGTCAGTAAGAACGCCAGTCCTTTTATGACTCGCTCATAAGTCGGACATATACTTTTGGACTAAAGTTTAACTCCCAAAATACCGACTAATAGGAGAGTATATACGAAATTCCATTGTAGATAAAACAATATAAAATAGCGATCGTCAAACTATAATTAAAAAGTTGCTTGAATGCACTTTTAAAATAATATGCTTTAAATGTTTATTAAAACATTAAAATCTATTATTGTCCTTATGTTGGAAGGCACTTCGTTCCATACGGTAGGCCCTGATATGACAAAAGACCTGGACGCGAATGTCTTGCGTTTAGCTGGGACGGTGTGCGTTTTTGCTAGTTCGTCGATGGAGCGGATGTAAAACGGTGAGGATCTAATACTGAGCATTTCACTGGGACTGTCACTATTATAAGACACTGAAAGACGAGACATGCTATTTTGAATTTAATTCTATAAAAAACGGGTAGCCAATGTCGAGTTTTCAGGGCCGCTGAGAGACTGTGTTGATCTTAATTTCAACACTAATTTGGCTGCTCGGTTCTGCAGAAACATGTTTATTGTATCTTTATCTAAAAATTTGAAATTTAATCAAATTATAGTGAACTATAGTCCTTTGAAGAATTGTTAACATTTGTGTTCTTATTCCACCTAAGGTGCCCGGGCACAGCCTTAAGTTATAGTAAATATTGCATTGTAGTGAAATACTTCAAAGACTTCCAGTTAAAAAAGAAAAAGATATGTAGTGTTGTACAGGTGTCTCAAATATTAGAATAGAATTCTAAAAACGCCCAGCTAGCATAAACCATATGTACTCATAAAAATAATTATGAAAAATATGAAGTAAAATTTTTATGAAACCTCGTCAGTAGCACATGTTTTTGGCAGGGATATCAATGTGCATGCTATGGCATATACATGTATGTGCAAAAATAAATAGTAATGTTCGTGAAATGAAATGTGTGCATTAGGTTTATAGCAAAATGTGTCACTCTAGAAAAGCTCACAAATTTACCTTAACAAAAACAACTTTTCTTGTTAAAGTGAATGTCTGTTTGTTAAATAAAGTTTGTTCATATGCCTAGATCTCAAGACATTGTCTTATTATATTGCCTTGGAATGAAAACTTTAAAAATAGAATTTGAAAATTTAAAAATCAAAGTAGTGTTTTGTGTATACATGTTAGCGTCAGGAAGACCACATTGTGCATTGCAGTACGACCTTGCCGAACATGCTTTCTAACTATTATGACAAATCATGGTGTTGTTGTCATTTGAAAACGTCATTGCAAGCACGTAGCAATGGGGATGGGTGGGGGGGGTGGGGGGGTGGGGGCTGTCCCCCATCTTTTTTTCCCAACACTACTTTTACTATTGAAAATGTTCGTTGAAAGGTGGTATCCGCCCACCGTTTACTAAAGTAAAGTAATATGAAGAATATGTAGTATTGTATGCAGAAAAATTGATATTAAAAGAAAATGGAATTGAAAAAAAAATGAAATAAATTCTCTGTCCCCCCACGTTTAACATCTATGTTTTTGTCTGCTGTGTTTTACTGTACATGTTCACTTGTAAATTTAACTGTCTTATACTTATGTTAATTAAAAGGGTATTAAAACATAGATAAGAAAATCGGAAAAATTGAACACACTTTGGGAAACATAAAAATATTGAGTCTTACACGATGTGATATACGTAACGCAGAAACAAATGTGAACAATAAAATGATCGCAATTGGGAACACAGGGTATATCATTATTCAATCGTATATACAATAATCGTAGCGTGTAATATGTGTGACCTTAAGAACCCTCTCTACACTGCACACCAAAGAGTTCTGATTCTAAGGTATTTTTCTCCACTCAGAGTGATCTGCCCTTAGATCTAAATTCTGAAAAATAGAAATTTTTACAATATATTACTCAGTGTGTAATTAATTCAAGTATTCTTAACATTTTAAAAAGCCAAGATAAATTATTTGAACGTGTTACTTACATGTATTTTCTCTACTGTGATTTCTAATCACTGATACTGTGTTGTCTTTAAACTTTTTTCCCGGGGGTAAATTAGTGATAATAAAATAAAAAAGCACAATTTATATTAACTCCTTTATACAATATATTTGTTCATTGTCCAAAAAATGTTATAGTGTAGATAGGGTCCATAATGTATATTAATGAATAAATATACAAATACATTCATTCTACAATAGTCCTATCATTTGCATATACTTACAGAAGTCTTTAATTTTTTTTATCACTTGAATTTATGGTGAAAACAAAGTGAAAAAAAACTGACAATCAGCATTTTAAAATATGAGGAGAAAAATGCATATCCACAAAATAAAATTTCTTTGCACATCTCTTTGCCATGAAACACATACTGTGTGCATACACATTTGTGATACAATAAAGTTATATCGTTAACACATCTCTTTATTAAAAAAAATAAAGAGACCAATATCATGTAAAGACGCCCTTTTGTATTAATTAGATTGTGTACGTTTGACGACTTGTAATAGCAATTTGTGAACTTTCTCGAATTTTTCTGTCTCAAAAATTACTATTTTAACATCTTGAAGTGTCGGATTGTCATTACTATTTCTAAAGTAAGACAAACTGACCATAATTGCTTCACACATCGTCTCTACACTATAGGTGATCAAAGCATTACCTGAAAAAAAATAACATTAGTTAGAATAAATATATTTTATCAAATATACTCGTATGTATGCATGTTATATTATTGCAATCATCATTCTGATATTTAAATTCTTAGATTTTATAGACACAAGCTGGATTTTGTATTTATTGAAGTGAAATTTTCTGGTATTCATTGTAGTGCAATAATCCAACTACCTTTTTGTCAAACTGAACTAAATGTAAGGTCAACCTCTCAAAAATGTTTCTGTCGTATCATTCAAAGCTGTGTTAATTTTTAAGAGACAGAAAGGCATTTCATGATAACGCCATATCATGTTTATAATGTTGGTTAAGCTATATCAAATGTGAATGAAAGGAAAATCTTGAAATAAACGAACCCGTGCCGACGACAGGTAGTGCAATGGAGGAGCATTTCAGATCATTTGCTTTCTGGAAGACTGCCTGTAATCTTTTTTTCCATTCGGATACCGTGAGGGGACATGCGACGTGTATGATATATTTAACATCCAACCCATATCCCAAAGTTTCCACGACCTTTTTATTTCTTATTTCGGATTCTACAATGTGTAATTTAAACAAGATTTGTCTATTATAAATTATTTTTATATTTAAAGAAAGTAATCTTGACAAATCAGTATTATTATAAATAATTAGAAATATTCTTGTTTTCATAACTAATCTTCAAAAGAAGAGGAAATATTTGAGTTATAATGCTTATTTTTACCTTTTTTGGAACATTCCTTCTCTAATGTCTTTCCACATTTCTCTAGAATTTTTTTCGACACTTGTCCTGAATAATTTAGTCATGTAAAAATCACTATATATTTAAGAAAACTAGAATTGAAGGAGAAAATGAAAAACGAGTAAATTGTCACAGTGTTTAAGCTTTTATGTTTTCACTTTAAATTAATGCTTAATTTATTTTTTCAAAAAAAGAAATAAGGCATGGTACATTCATCATTTCAATATTTCAAAAAAATGTCAAGTCTCCTGCGCAAAACAGTGATCTAGATTTGCAGAGTATGTACCTGATCCTATCGTCGCGGGTTCGATCCTATTGATGGGCGTGGAGACCCGTCAATCGGATAAAACTGTACCGTATATAAGGAGGTCCCAAAAAAGACCCCTCACTGTTCAATGGTCCTGAGAACCTAACACAGATAAAATTTGCAGCCCTTTCTAGGCAAGAGGTTGTGTCTTCATACATTCTATTCCTATTTACATGTAACATTCCGTATAGAAAGGTCATGCAGATTTTTTTTTACCAGCAATATACTGTGTATGTACTTTAAAAAGCGGGCTTCGTATTATGGCTTTGGCGCGGACAACAATGCGCCTATTTATGAATTCAGGAATCAGTTACATATAAATACACTGAACGGACATGATGATTTCGCCAACAACTCCATACCCAGTTATAACGCTAAATTTTGAATACGCCAAATTGTGTACACGAAGAGTAATATGAACCATGTATGATGACTATATATTGCTCACATGTACATATAAATATACAAATACATCTAATTAGTTTAAAATTTTTACCTAATCTGAGATTAAACTCGCTGTTTGTGCTATTCACAATCGCATCAGTTTTAATGTGTGTTATGTCACCTTTATGAAGGCAAACGCAAATTCCATCAATTGAAAACTCTAAAAAAAAAATGTAAAACAAATTATAGATGCAAAATGTATTCAAAATTTTATACATACATAACTGCTAGACTTTGAATTTAAATATGGGCTTCATACCATACTCTTGTCTTCCAGTCTTTACTTGTGGTAGAGTCCAGATAGCTACTTCTCCTTCATCTTCTTCATCCTTATTGCGAAGATTAGATATAATCTTTTTCATTGAAGTAAAAAAACTTGATGATCTATTTTTTGATGTTTCAGAACTCATTGAAAACTCAGCTGCAGAAACAGTGAAATCTTTTATAATTTTCTGGATATCCTATAACATAAAAGAAACCATATTTTAAATATCCAATCACCCAAATGTAAATCAATGTATAATTGTATGATCTTGATTGAATTTCAAACTCCTTCAGGGTCATTGATACTCTGATAAGAAAGATAACTCTTAATGACATAAATGCCTATTATTCCTATATAGATTTGCCAAGTTGAAGTGTCTTTTTTTGTCCAATCTGTCCCGCAATCTATGATATAATTGTTTGTATTTTACTTACAAAATACATTTCCTTTGGAAAATCATATAGGTTTAAGCAACATTTTATATAAGTGAACAAATGGTTTATGAATCTTAAAATGAGTAATCGTCATAAAAAAATTGCCATTATCATTTAGTTTAGAAAAACTTTGAATAATTGGACTTTTACGAGAAGCGCTGACTCTCACGGTTGACGAATTACTCCCACACTAGGACAGTGTATGGAAGCTCTTTTTCGATGTAATGACTTAGCTCAACATTTAACTCAACGAAAATAACGGGCTATTTCAAAGCACAGCTAAGTTGTCCTTGAAGAGAACGACTACCATCCTACCCTCAAATCCCGTCTTTATCATACAAGTGCCCCTAGCACCATTGCAATGACCACTAGAAAGGTTTTCTTTTCCATTATCAATTCTGTATCTCCGTAGATGTGAATGTTTAAATATCTAAGTAAACAGTCAACTGTAAAAGTCAGTGCTTCTCGTAAAAGTCCATTACCAAATCTACTTTCATACTATGCATACTCGTAAATGTTCTTAAGCTATTATTTAAGCCAAATTCTAAATTCTACTCACATTATAGATCTGTGCGTTTTCTTCTGGAACAAAAATGTAGATTGTCTCAACAGTTGTTCCTAATAAGATGGTGTCGTACTGTGATATTGCTTGAAGGGCATTCTGAACAGCAGAGGCAAACTGAGTTTTGAATTCAAGGCACGATATACAAAGATATTTCAATCCCTTACCAGTTGCAATATGTAAGCAGTTTATAAGAACTTTCTGAAATATCTACAAAAAGAAATAACTTTTCAATGCCAGTGCATTGCATTATACATGTAATAAACATCTCATTTCTAACCTTTAAGGGTTGCTTATTGAAGCAACGCTTAACTCAAAAGAAAGATGTGTTTCACCAAAGGAGTTTATGCTATCAAGCTACCTTATAAGACATTCTGTGCTAAATATTCTTTTCTTACAATAAGTACTAAACTGTGGGACATGTAATAAAGTGAATTTTCTATCCCGAAATTGTTATTACTAAAAGCAATGACAAACATTTTGAATGTATATAAAGGCTATTCAATATTATTTTTGTAATCAAATATAGAATTAACTTCTTGAGTGGAATCAGATTTTGTGTCCTTATCATTCCTCCGGAGGTTCTGATTAGAACAATATTGAGTGTACAGTAAATGAATAGGTTTTGACATAATTATCACCGATCATGGATTTTCTGTTCTTGAAATGAAGATTTTCTTATGATTTTTTCTATGTATTTTTTTTTTTGTAAAAATTTGATTGCCAACAACGTTCCCATCCTACCTCCATGGATCATGATTAAAACGAAGTTAAATCAACACTAATTGTCACTACCTTAAGATGCTTCCATATTCATATCACCAATTATTGCTTCGCTGTTCTTATTAAGATTTTCAAAAGGTTGTTCCTACATTGTGTACATTTCCATGTAATTTAACTTTGATTGTCCATAATGCCCCCAATCTACGCCAAAACTGAACAAAATTGAATTCACACAAGCTAAGGTCGCATTCATATTATTAACACCAATCATGGCTTTGCTGCTTTATGAGAGGAATTATTTTAAAGATTTTAATTTGTTGTTTCCGTTATATTCCTATCTAAAAAAAATGATAATGAATTGTGACCCCAACCTTCCCCTGGGGTTATGATTTGAACAATCTTAAATTTACAGTAACTGAAGATGATTTCAAATAAAAATCATCTATTCTGGCCCAAGGATTCTTGAAAGAAATATTAAATGTTGTACTATGCAATGATACAATTAAATTTTCACTAATTCATAATTATCTCCCCTTGGAGGAGGACGCTGTCCTTAATTCATTTGACTACACCTGAACCCGTTTAACCAAATACATTCTGGCAAGTTTGGGTTGGAATTCGCCCAATGGTTCTTGAGAAGACTCGGCAACATATAACTGACAAATTTTGAACAGAAAAGCTCACTTGATCAAGTACGCTACATGTAACAAGTCGGCTTTGGTATTGACGAACTCTGTTCAATAATATTTTTATACAATATGCATGAAACTTACATTAATAACAGAGTAATGGGCCCTTAAACATCGATAATGAAAACTTCGTTAAGACACATGCGATATGATATTTGCTAAAATATCTCTAAAGAAAACGCAAGAGACCAAATGAAATAATTACTATAAAACAAGGGAAATACTAAACTAGTTATAAAGATATGGCGATAAAACATTAGAGAACAGTTTTTCTAGCTATAGTTTGCATTTTATGAAGGATATGGAGATAACGAGCAGTATTCAATCTCAAAGTCTATAAAACAATACAAAATAGGAGCAGAACAAACACAGACTTCCGAAACATCAGAGGTGGGATCAGATGCCATAGAGTAGAGAGTATCCCCTGCCGTCCGGTCACGCCCGCCGTCTGTTCCTTGTCATGATCGGGAAATAAATAATGGACTAACAATTAGTATGAAGAAAGTCAGTCAGCATTTGACTCAATGATAAATTGTATTTGCTGACAAGGTAATTGTATCGGCCATAGAACTTACAAAATGACGACTTTAAACGTTTAAACGTTTCATCAACTCGTTTGTCAATTTTAGAAATTGTTTACACGCAGAGCATGATTTTATGTTTCGAATCAACTAAGATATATATACTCCGTAGGTGATGAAAGTTATATATTGCTGCATAAGTGTGAAAAGTTGACGAAAGAAAGGTTTATGTTATCGCGTTTTTCATAAGGCTTGGTTGTTAGATTACCTTTAACGACTATCAAAGTTTGAAACATATATTTTAGACTCTATTGTACCCCTTATCTCAAGCTCACCGGGATATATGATATCGACATAGGAATGGAAATTACCTTGATTGTTAAATGACAATACCTCGTCGATATATATCTAGCAGTCATGTTGATGGTCACAGCAAGTGATTTTTTTTTCATTTTACACGAATTCTGCTTCATATGAATACAAAAAAAGGTCTGCGAATAACAGATGGGATGGGTATTCCAAAAGATTGTTTGAAGGAAACCTGGTCTCCAAGAAACCGTATAGAAATTGTCAATCAGAAACTCAAGAATCTTTTTACGTCATCTTCAGAGTACTTGTGTGTGCAATCAGAATGTGATTTAACAAAATAATCTTGAAATGACTAATGACAAGGGAAAAAAATTACGAGCTCCATTTTTATTGGAAAAGCAGCTTTAAATGACAAAAACAATCCTGGCCTTTAATTTAAAATTCGTACTTTTTAAAGCTCATGGTTTTGGTGAAATCATGTGATTTCGTTTACATTTTTGAGTATCCACATATTATTCACACCACGTCTTGAATATATTGTAGCACAATACTCTTTACTACTGTCAAAAACGTAGTTAGAAGTAAAGAAAGAGGCTTGGTTAAGCATTTACTGGAATTTTTATGAAGTTTTGGAATCCAATATATATACGGTTGTTCATATTCATTTTGGTTCTTTGGGATGTTAAAAACAGTCAAAACTGACAAATGATTTTCTTTTTCCTTGAAAAGGAACTATGAGTATAGGTTAAATTAAGTTTTGTAGAATAAAATCTAAGGATTTGTGTTTCCTATATTTTAATTAGTTTTGGGGTTATCAACTCACTGTATTTATTTACTTCATTTACTCCCTTGTGATCAATATCGATGCATATATATGTGTATTTGCATATGAATAGTGCATTACTTAAATTCAGTTCACAATTTAAATTGCATAATTATGTTAATTGAAAGTCTGAAATTGAAAAGCAGACAATCATACAGACACCGGTTACCTGGTGATCCGAAAAGCCCTATTCAGACTTCGGCTCAGACCTGCTAAGAACGATGTTCTATTCCCGAAAATAAAACTGTCTTTAAAGAAGTGTTAAATTGATTACCTTTGCAGAATATATTGGCATTGCACCTATAAAGAGTCTTGTGCAAGGAAGTGTTCCAGTTGATATATCAGCCACCTGACCAAGAGAAATTCCAAAATGGTAGTCTTTTACAATGTTCTGATTGATTTCCTCTACATCGTACTTTCCAAATGCTTTCTCCAACATTGCATGATTTACTTGTAGATTACTACCAGCAAATGTAAGTATGACGTCAACCTTAAAAGCAATTCAAATTATTAAAATTCATTATAAATCTGATGTCGAATGCAATAATTCACATTCATTGCTAAAATGGTTCACATAATGTTATTACATTTTTATGCATAGTATTTAAGGAAGCAAACTTTGTTCAGAATTGATTAAAACTGGTGAAGTAGGAATTTTCGGGGATCTTTACCTATACATTGTACCTTTTTAACATTTCTTTAAACGAGGTCTATCACAGTTCATTATATTCACCTTTGACGCGAAAAATCTTCAAATTTTTAATAATGTAGCAATATGTTTATTGTATTATACATGCTTATTTCGAGTCGTAATCCTCTACATGTATCTACAAATTATATCTTGATTTCAACCGGATTGTTTTATGAAGAAAAGGGTCTTTATGTAAGTACTCATTGTTTTCGACATCATCATTAAATAACATTTTAAAACTCATCTTTTTAGGGAAGCATTCAGTTAAATTTTTATCATTATGTGTCAAATATATACTGTTTTTATTTATTTATTTATGTTTAAAGATCTCTGACTTATTTGGTTATTTTTGATTTTCTGATATTTCTTATGCTCTATTGTATTCAGTTTTTCTTTTCGTGTTTTGATATCGTTTAATAATCATTTTTCAAAATATTTTTAATTTCTATAATGGTATCAATACTAAATGTCATTTCATTATGCTATTCAACAAAATTTTATTCTTATTGTATTCATAAATGTATTTTTAACTATGTTGTACAGCGCTTTAGAGTAATTGTTTTTATTATATAAGGCGCTCTATAAATTTTGTATAATAATAATAATGATAATAATAATAATAATAATAATAATAATAATAATAATAACAAAAGCAAAGCTCGTTGCAAAGCAACGAGTAGGTCTTCCGTCCTGTTTGACCGGAAGTTACTTTGAATTTATACAAAAATGAGTAATAGTGCCGAAAATGGTTTAAATCCTCAAAATCTATGTTAATTAATGCAAAAATAAGCAAGTTTTTGTTACTTTCGGTTTAACCGGAAGTGATGATGACGGATGGAAATTTAATTTTTAGGCTCCCAGTGACAGATGATACCCAAAATATTGTCAAGAACGGCAAAAATATGCGTTTTCTTACTACCTCCGGTTTGACCGGAAGTGACGTCGCAGGACGTACTTTTGACGACTTCGGTAGATGGAGCTTGACATTTTGAACAACTTTGCTTCTTTGACGTATTACAAATTCTCAATACTTTTTGAGATATAAAAGAAAAAATTTTGATCCCGCTAGGCCCTTTATTTTAGGGGCCAGCCCTTTTTTGAAGGTATCATTTGAAAGATCTTGAAATTCTACACTTCTTTTGTTATACATGTTTTACCAAAATATTTCTAGGTAAAAGGTTATCGTTGAAAAGGTGTTGAAATTTTTGAAATTCGCGATAGAATTATTTTCGGGCCATAACGAGCTTCCGTACACAGCAATTTCGGTGAATATGAAATACGTTCTGCACAACTACATTTATTGCTCTATTATCACTGAAAAAGTTTCTATCTTAAGCCGTTTTCGAGAAAACTCGCGGACAAACTAACACTCTAAAATTCACTAAAATGCAAAAATCTCGGAACCGGAAGTGAAGTCATCAGAATAAAAAAAAATTATGTCTAGATATTCTTATGTTCCATCAGCCCTGAAAGTTTCATGAAAATCGAGCGAGCCGTTTCCGAGGACTCGCGTGCACAAAATCGGTAAGAAAAAAAGGAGAAAAAAAACTGTGAAAAAGAAACCTAAGAATAACAGAAAGGTCTTCCGTTGGAAACGGAAGACCTTAATAATAATAATTATAGTGTTTATTCTAAAAACATGCTTTACTTTAAATTATGTGATCTTTGTTCTTCGTTGTATAACATGAACATTTCTGGAATCAAATTTACGTAGCATCGTACCATAAAAATGTCGGTAATTAAAATTTAACAAGAGGCCCAGGGGCCACATCGCTCACCTGAGCAAATTGTAATCAGATCATTACTGAAAAGTTTTTACTGAAGGGGGGAGGGGCTTGAATTTTAATACTTCTTGAGAATGCCTTCAAATCAATACAGCATATGGACTTTGCTGTTCTTGATACAAAAAATTTTAAACATTTTCTTCCTATATATTACTTCGTAATAATTTAGATTTGCTTCTCCATTGTTTCCCTCCCTACCCCAATGGGCCATGATTGGAACAAATTTGAATCCTCAATACATGAAGATGTTTACATGTCAATATGATTAAAACAGCTTTTCTGTTCTTGGAATTTTTCCCTACATTTTTCTGTGTAAATCTTTGATCCACCATTATGGCCCCACTCTACCCTTGGGGTTATGATTTGAACAAATTTAATTCTACACTACCTGAAAATGCTTTCATATAAATATATCACTAATCATGGCTTTGCTGTTCTTGAGAAGGAGATTTTTTAAAATATACATGTATTTTAATGTAAAACTTGCATCCCCCATTGTGGTCCCACCCTATCCCTTGGGGGTTATGATTTATGATTTAAACAAACTAGAATCTACACTAGCTGAGGATGATTCCATATAAATATCACTAATCATGGCTTTGGAATACTTAAGAAAACGATTTTTTACATGAGTTTCATCTTTCCTTGCCCAGTGGTTCTAGAGAAGAAGATTTTAAAAAATGTTTCCTGTATATTCCTATGTAAAAACATTGATCGGCCATTGTGGCTCCATCCTACCCCCGGGGGTCAAGATTTGAACAAACTTGAATCTACACTACCTGAGGATGCTTCCACATGAGTTTCATCTTTCCTGGCCCGGTGGTTCTTGAGAAGATTTTTAAAGATTTTTCCTATAAATTCCTATGTAAAATTTTGATCGGCCATTTTGGCCCCACCCTACCCCGGGGGGGGGGGGGGGCGGGGGGGGGAGGGGGGCATGATTTCAACAAAATTGAATCTACACTACCTGAGGATGATTTCACATGAGTTTCATCTTTCCTGGCCCAGTGGTTCTTGAGAAGAAGATTTTTTAAAAATGCCATTAGTTTTTCACTAATTCAAAATTATCTCCCATTGGAAGACGGAGTGGCCCTTCATATGAACAAATTTGAATCCCCTTCCCCGAATGATACTTTTGTGGAAAGTTTGGTTGAAATTGGCCCAGTGGTTCTTGAGAAGAAAATGAAAATGTGAAAAGTGTTTACGACGACAACAACGACGACGACGCCGCCGCCGACGACAGACAACGGACAAATTTTGATAAGAAAAGCTCACTTGAGCCTTCGCTTGACTCAGGTGAGCTGATAAAAACATCGTCAGAGATTACAGGACATATAAGACGGACTTTTTATCAATTACCTTCATCGTGAATGATTTTCCTGTTGCTACAGTGACTGAAATTCCTTTGATTGGTGTTTTAAAGTATTCTGTAAAAAGAAAATGAAATTGCTGTGTATAATTGTTAAGATGATAATATGAAATCAATGTTTTCAAATATTTTAGCTAGAGATGTTAACAAAGCATACGCGTTGCCTGCTAAGTAGCATCCCAAAGACAAAAAATCAAATTCGTGGTACTATAAAAAACTGATTATCTTCTTGCCTTTGTCCATATATTTGTAATATATATATGTTGAAGTATATTTCCTGAAATGCCTTACATAAAATTATCCTATTTTTCCCCTTATCATAGTTGAACATATTTTAGTAGAAATGGTACCACATAAAAAGGGACATTTCGATACAAAAATACATTTTGAAGCCTTTAAAAGCTTCCAACCTGAGGATTAACTCCAAAACAATCAGCAAACCTGATCTTTTTTCTGTAATTGTATTACGTTGTATCTCCTAATGACTTGTTCGCCATATGGGTAGGAAAGGTGTCATTAGGGATGGAAATCCTTAATCAGTAAAAGTTACAACCGTCTGATACAAAAGTGTTTTTTTATATTTAATGTCAAGAAAACGAAAATGACCTTGAACTGACTACAATCAACGGATATGATCAGTCGATAGGGGGTGCTATGCTAAATGAGCCATCCCTGCTGTTTTTAGAGTCCACTGGTTGTTTAGCAAAATTCCTGAACATATGTTTATTAAGAAGCAAAATACAAAGCTTTGAACATGGCCATGTATATATAGGTACAACGTATACACCAATAATAGCGGTGCATACGAAAATAACACAAAAATTCATATTTACATGGTAACCACATTTTAATAGTTAAAATAACTTAACATGGGTATCATTCTTCTAAAATTCAATACAAACTGATGTCATTGACCTTCTTCAATGACAAACAGTGGATTTATTATGATTTTTTTTTTTTTTTTTTTTTTGCTTGTAGGATATTACGCTTACATTTTCGAGTAATTCCAAATAAAAGGGACGATTTTATAGGCTTTGCAGAGCTTGTATAAATTGGACCAAATGTAATGTTAGGTACGGTAGGACAAATGATGACTGCACTAAACGATCTGCGAAATTTTCGTCAACTAACTTTCAAAACAGACATTTTTCTTTTAATTGAAGGAATGATCAACATCTAATCTGCAACTTTACTTAATTACAATAAAAGTATGTATTTACGATTTAAGGCGGGGGTCTACATTACCACAACATGCAAGGATCAATCTTCACGCTGGGGGAAATCGGTCCAATAATTCATCATCTACTCTACCCAGGGTGCCTATTTTGAATTAATGTATTGCTGATTGACAGAAACACAGGGTTCTCTATCGTTTGAAATTTTACTGTGTTGCAGAGTTTACGACATCATTGAGAAATTCTTTCTCCTAGAGAATGAAGTGCCTATTTCAAAAAGGCAAATAGGATCAAGTACACGAACTTAATAGAATTCCTATAAACAGATTATGTTCAAATCATAAAGAAATTCAAAGCTTGGTAGGGTTAAGATGTAGGGTTAAGGGATATTTTAGTTTCCGCAGTTATGATACAGCTGTCCGAATGCTTAAAATGTCTGAAAACTATACATTCTATTTTGAGCTAGATTTTAACTTTAATGTGTAATCCTTGTTGCGAGATTGCAGTCAACGTGAGATAATAGTTAAATCAGGTATTTTCCACTCTTTATCGCGATTTATACAAAAAAATCGTAATATTTAAAATGGATAAATTACACACAATCTCCCAGTAAAATTCAGTTACAGGACATATTTCTCTTGTAGATTCACACAGAATATCTTCAATTTGTCCTTGTTTATCACTTGTGCCAGTCCAATATAAACACAATTCATTAATTCTAGCTCTGTCTACAGACGTGTTAAGGGGAGCGTTTCACACATAATTTTTCGCTATTGTTTGAATATGTGCATATCGGACAAGCGAAAGAAATAGGGATATTTAAATTTCAAATGTTCAACATCATAACAGCAAACTCAAGCTTAAATAGTAATCTTAACACTTGAATTAAACAAAAAGTCCCCAAAATAAATCTACACTTTATCTGTCATATCCGCTCAAGTATGCAGTGACTTGACATTATATTCTATTATGACGTCATATCTAGGTAGTTCAAAGATGTTACTACAGTTTAAACAGTTTGATATTTTACGGGCAGCCTTATCCTAGCTGCAACTAAAGTATATACAATCAACATATGCATGCAATACCTGGCCTTGTGGAGCTCGACCTTTCACCCTGTAAAAATCAACAAATATTCTTTTTTATCTTGTTTGTAGCAAAATACATAAAAAATATTCAGTCATCGACATCAAAACTTAATAAACATATTAAATCTACTTCATTGAAATTACTTACACAACATCATTAGAAAAACGTCAGCATATACCGGTAAAGGTATTGAAAAAAGGCTTCAAAGTACATGCAAGACTCCCCATTCCCCCATCATTTCTTAAAATCAAAAGTTTTCCATTTAGGGAAAAAAAACATTAAATGAATTGACTAGACTCTTGATGCTTTAATATCTTTTAATATTGGTGCAACGAAAACGGACAAATATTTGTTTTATAATTTTGAAGAGACCCTTTTTCTGATCCAAAATTTTAATTATATAATAAAGTGCTTAGAAAATATAATCCCTAAATTCTTTGTTCTTATTCTTTGTTGAGTATTTTCATCAACTGTGGCTATCAAAGAGAGCTTGTCTATCAATATATGAAGTTTCAGAGGAAAATTTATTTTAGACGAAATGAATGTAATTTCCCACAGCGGATTAAACTTATTTCGATGAATATATTGATAGTTTCAACAAGTCTTTTCTTAAAGTGGAATTAAAAAAACAGCACTTTTCTTTAGACTGCATTATACCCTCCAAAGCTACGAAACTGCAGAAACTGCAAGATATTTTTTTCATTAATCTTCCTTGGATTAAAATGTTATAATTGTTACTAGAATCACATATTATGAAAAAGTGAATTTTGCTTTTTTCTGAATCAGAGCTGTTTAAAACATTTCACCTTCTATGGTGCTTCGTTTGTGTCAGTTTTTGGAGAAATAATTAAATCAAAATACGTATGGTTTTCAATTAATGATGAAAGAATGAACATAAGGTGGGTGCGCTCGTATGCATTTTATGTTGTATCAACTCTGCTATTTAAACGTTTCCATCTCGAGAATACTGTAGACGTACTTTTTTCCACGGGGTCATAATTTCGCGGAATCTCAATTTCTGTTCAATCCGTCGGTAGAAAATTTCGCGAATTTCCCAGACTGTCACTATATGCCTTACATTTATATTAAGTATGCTTGGACAAATTTCCGCGGAAAATTTGTGACCGCGTACATAGCGTACATTAATACCACGCGGAAAAAGTACTTCTACAGTATATTAAATTTTCCCCATTTTTATGCTTAGATTTATTTTTCCTTGTTGGGTTAACTACTTTTCTCTTAATTAGCAGGAATTTTTATTTCAACAAAAGTATGAATATCAATCATGTATATACAGCTTTTAATTTTTGTTCCTTCAGAATTCTTTAAAACATACTATAGTCTTAAGGATGGATTCTTCTCATATTTCTTATGATTGCAGAATCTCGATTCTCAGACTGTGTACACGTTTTTAACATCCAAACAAACCGGTGTAATCAGCCTTAATTTTCAGTCAAGGTCATTTCAAAGTCAGTCCTAAAAAATAGTACTTTTACACAGAGAAGTTTTGAAATTTACGCATTGGAATAAATTTTGCTCACAGAAAAAATATCTTCATCAATAAAACTAAAGTTGTAACTTATTATTGATCATTAAGTAACATGAATTGAGATGGTGGAAAAAAACATGAAATCCTCAATATTCAATAAAAGAAACACTTAATCCGAATTTCCTCGATAATTTCTTTTAAATTTCTCAGTTTTCATAAATTCACATGAAATTATACCTCAATTTTCACAATTGATCATATAATGTTAAATATTTAGATTTTTGTCTGATGAATATTCAAATGTTGAAGAATAATTTCCAAGGTAAAAAAGATATGGTATTCATGCTAATTATAGAACAAATTTAACCCGAATTTCTCTGCAATTTCTGAAATCTTAAATTTTACAGAGTGGTTTTAAAATCTATATAAAAAAAGAAGATTTTTAAGCTCAAAGATATGGCAATTTGGTGTAATTGTGACACATATTTACATTCATTTCCTCCAGTTATACATTTTATTTTATGATTGTTTGTGCTAATAATATTTAAAATATTCATTTCGAATTTCCTTTGTCATTCTATTTTTAAGAATAAGTTATGATTGACAATTTTATAAAATACATCAATTTTCCTGTTGCAATTATAGAAAATTATCAAATACTTTTCTCACACGCACAGGACTACTTCAAAGCAACTTAATATAACCAGGAATAAATAATATACCTTCAAAAAATATTAGAAAATCAAATATAAAATATTTATTAGACTAGAAAAATAATATATTATATGTGAGATAAACATTAAATCAATATATATGTATAGTGAACATGTCATATGAATCTAAAAAGTATAGTGAACATGCCATATGAATCTAAACAGTCAATTCTTACTTTATGAATATCAGAGGGACTAATAAATGCCTACATATAATTTATAGTTTAATTTACATATAGTCCCCTGGTATTACATTATTTGATGTTTCACATTTGTCGAGTTTTGAAACCAATAAATACCTACTCACATTTATGATTACATGTACAGACATATTAATTTTTTGCTAGCACAAACAAGTATAAATCCTCCATGTGATCCCACAATGCATAAAATTTGCTGGATTTTAATATACAATAAAAAAAGAAACCATCATCAATATCAATTAGATGCAATCTGCCATCTTTGCCTGAAAATGATATACTAGTACTTTTGAACTTTGTAACAATAATATCCATTGTAGCTATCAAACTTGAGTTCACATTTAGATACTTATTGAAGAATGAAATTTCTTTTTGAGAATTTGTAACACAACCGTTTATTTACCAGTGACAATAGCGTCTTTTGAAATTGAATTAAAAATTATCTCTCAAGGGTTTCTACTGCAAGTGTTTCAAGTTCATTTGTGAAGTTCTAAATATTAACTCCGTCACAACCACCAATTTTGTTCGGCATGTTCTTGTTAATTAAAATCACCCTTGATTATCTACATGATCAAATTCAGGCACATTTTTATGCATTTCAAATCTGAATTTAAAGTTTTTAACTATATTTGATAATTTCATAAAAGCAATTAACTGAATACATAGAGCTAGCTATATATAATTTACAGGTTGCTGTAATGTCAGTTCATGTAAATCTTGTAATCTAATGAATGATAATGCTTGCAAAATTCACTCTAGGAGTAAGATTACAGATTTGAATCAAAAATTTTGTAAACTAATTTTTTTCCCCGGCAAACATTTCAAAATAAGGAAAGTCAGATAATTAAACATTATATGTCAGATTATAAATGAAACTACTTTTGACTGAAAGTTTGAAAAAAATCAAGAATGTAATCATGCAAGATATACTGTGAGCAAATCTCTTTTCCACGACAGCCATCACTCTTTTGATGTAAGAATTTCTTGCTGAACATTTTTCCACCTGCTGAGAGCTAGCTAGTCTTTTTTTACCTACAATTTAGAAAATATTTATATTTTACAAATGCTGCATTTCATGGTACAGTGTATTATACTTTCATTATAAATACTAAAATTTGATTGGTTAGATGCATCTAACAACATCTTTAATGTTACCCTCAGTGTTAGCAACTCACTTGACAATGGAAACACATTTGGAAAAAGTCACATGCGCGCAAATAATGCGCGTATGTTTTACCATAGAATTCTCAAAACGTCAGTTGTCGTTTGAAAGAAGCCAAATAAACGATTTCAATCATGCTTGCGAGTGCAAACTTAAGATGATAAAGGACTTTTAGAGTAGAAAACAAACCATAAAATGGACGGTAAATCTTTTTCAAAGCTTTAATTCTTATTGAAAAAAATAGAAGCGGGGAGTTTGAAAGCTTTCTCAACGTGAACTTTATGACGACCTCTGAATTTTAATTATGACATCTGAAAACAAAATTCCAATCCACACTTTGTAATAGTTATGTCCCTTTGTAGGGTCAACCAAAAGGTTTAAAGGGAAACAAATGACATATCTCCTCTTTAGACTACTAATAATCTAGGTGTGCTCCAATAAAGCCAATAAGTTTATTTTTTCTTTCAATATATGGGTAGCCACATTTTGTGGCAAGCATTATATAAGGTGCACACAATTTTTCCAGTCAGATGACAAAGTTACAAACCAAAAAAAACTATAAAGGCTACTGTGAGGATTCAATAGGTTTTTTCTATATAAAAAGGGCGGCCAAGGAACACAACTTTTGAAAAGTGTGAATTCAACTATAACACACTAAGTATGATAAAATAAACAGTGCACGTTTTTAGGGTAACAGTTGAAATTGACACCCCTTGAGTCAGCAGTGTTCCTCAGGGTGTCAATTTCAACTGTAACCCTCAAAAACTGTTAACTATTTATATTATAGTTAGAGTCGTGTCCATATTTCTTATACATGTACCTCAATAGTCAATCTGCCAGCACCTCTTGCTCAATCATCCTGCATTATGATCTTCAGCCTTTTTTCTAGTCTACTCCTGGGTTAAGTAGGGTTGTTTCCTCCTAAGAATTAAACATGAACATCCCTTAAACTATTTTTTAAAATAGATCTGTATTTCAATTATTGACTTACATATATAAATAAATGAATGAAGTTTTTCCAATAACAGATATCAGCTACCACATGTATAACAGTGTATAATGTCATATTATAAAACTTGTGTAATACATAAAGTAAATAAATAAACATTTTTAACCCTAAAATACAGAAAAGAAAAAAACAATAAAATAAATATTTTCTAGACAATAATGTTTCACTTTTTGTTTTCTTATCAGACAATTGTTTCAATATTATTGATAATATCTTTATTTTTTCCCTTTTGATTTGTACCCCAGTGGAACACCTTACTTTTTCAACAACTTTGATAATTGTTGTGCCTAATTTATTACTTACTATCCTTATTTATTAAAGGGCCTTTAATAAATAAGGATAGTAAGTAATAAAACTTGTAATCATATACAAAAAATGCTATTTTTGTGAATAATTATTATTCATAAAACCAGAAACATTTATGAGTTATTTATGTCTCTGATAAAACTGACAAACACACGGAAATGATAAATTTTATATCATCAAATTTTACGAACAGTCGCGGGAACAAACATATACGAAGTACATTGATAATAGATAGAATGTTCTATCGTTAAAAGGATAAATGTCCAACGGACCCGGTTAAACGATAGAATTTGCTCCGTGTGCAAATCTTTTTGTATTCTTCAAAATCGTTTCGGAGCGATTCTGCAATTATTTGCTATATTGCGAGTATATGGGAGGTATTGTAACTGTGGTGAGGGCTTGTCCCGAGACACAGTCAGATTATTCTAACTACATTGACAAGAAAACATTGATGTAACCATCAATTGTCGCCCGGGAAATAAATAAAGTAAACAATAGAAATGAGTTTTGATCATCAATTGCAAACGACTTAGATATGTGTAAAAAAGGCATGCGTCTAAATGATGGAGACGATAGTCGAGAATATTAAGAAAACTCATAGTCGGATGAAAATCGAACAAAAACGATACCCATTTTAAACTTTATCAATTTCTCAAGTAAATGTTGGCTGCAAAAAATATAGATTGAAACTAGACTCATGCATCACCTATTTTCAAAAATGTAGTTCACTTTAAGAATATAAAACTCGAACTGTGTATAGTACATTTTTATGCGATTGGTAAAATTCGATGTTCTAAGAAAAGGGACCTGTCGTTTTTTCAATAGTAAATGAGAAGCAACTTTATATATTTAATCAAAACGAATAAATATTTTTACAAATTCACTTTATGGAAGTAAATATATTATGTATCTCGTAATTTATAAAGGGAAAGAACATTCCGATTGACAATATTTCTATTGTTTATAAAACCTTTAATTCTGAATAACTTCTCCCACCTCAATCTCCATACACCGACACGTAAACTTATATGTGTAGAGCAGCCCGGTACTCCGGGCTGCAATAACAGATCTATATTGTTCGTACGAATTCATATAAATTAATGAAAACCATGTAATTCAATTTAGAATTATAAAAATGTTCAGGTATATATAACTATCACTTACATGCTCACTGCATACGACATGGCATCTGACGAGGCAACGTGGGTATGTATTCTCGCAAAGTTTGTGGCCTTCAAGTTCCCTTTGGCTGATCGGGGGTGCCTCGAGCATAATCAAGTATGATTTTAAAACTTTTCATAATTGTCTCTGAAATGCTCCGATAATGTTCATAGTTTGTAGATTTTACAAAACAATCCGCTCGGGGTATTCCACGGGAAGCAACCTGGACATGTTGACATTCGCTACGGAACTGCGCATTTTATGGCAGTTGTCGCAAATCAAAGAAAAAATTACGAACAATTCATTTATTTAAAAAGAAAAAGATTCATCAATACTTAAACTGATAGATTAAACAATAGTTTTCCCTTCAGTTCCATTAAATGTGTAATTAGCATTTTACGACTTGCATAATTTATGGAGACCCATTGACGACGTAAAATGCTGACAAGAATCCATCCTTAAGCAAATACAGCAAGAATGTCAGGAGCTGTGTTTTCAAGTAAAATATCCAAAAATAATATAAAATTATACCTGAAAATCAAATGAATCAGGAATTTTCCAAATCCATGAAATTTCGTTAACATCAACTTCATGTCCAAACCCACATTCTGAACAATGAATACGATCTCCAATAAACATTGATTCTCCGACAAAGTGGAATGTGCCCCCTTGCTGCCTTCCTAAAACTTCTTTGTTGCAGCTAAATCCTACTTCAAAAGGTTCCATAGAGATATTTTTTATCAACGATTGAATTGTATTTGTCAAATGTTTCCTTATTTCGACAAAGAAGAATGCATCCACATTCTTTGAGTCCAATACTTGTACAGCAATTATATCATTTAGGTGCATTCCAACCAAAACCTTATTTCCACATACTTTGAAAAGGGCGGAGTTTTCATATATGCAGAGAGATTTCATTCTGTATATTTCCCACTTCAAGGAGTTGCTACATGCAGCAATTAATTGGTGGAAGAGATATAGTGGAATATACTCAAACTTGAAACATAGAGAGGACGACTTTTGAATATGCTCGAACTCATTTTCTGGAAATTCCATTTTATTCATGCATGGAACATACCACATTTCTTCTTTATCCCTCTTTGACCCAGTGTCCTGAATGGTGGATATTAAGTTCAACTTTTTCATGAAAAGCAATATCAGAGCCTTATTTTTTATATATTCAGATCCTTTCTCTTTTCTTTCCCAGATATTGATTATAAGGGTATGAAAAAGAATTCCTGTGTCATTGAACCTTTTCCACTCTTGATAAAGATCTTGTGGAGTATCAAGACGTGCGTGCGACTCGTCTGTTATAATGTTTTTGAAAGCATCAACAAACCATTGAACATCTACAACTACGTATTTTTGTAGTTCATCTTCGGCATAATATAGTACTTGACCAATATTATGCAGAAAGGTAAGAGGTACTTTTAGATCTGCCAAATCTAAAAACACTGACTTGCATTCTTTGAAGATTTCCGAAACCAAGATTATTTTTTCTGACATATGCTTCTGAATGATAGTTTGTAGGAAAAACCAAGACCAAGGAATTTTCTTTCCCCAAGTTGGCAAGGTTGCTGCTACTTCAAGTATGCATTTTTTCAGATCATCGACAGTTTCAGTAAATCCTGACCCAAAAGCCCGTCTGTAATCAATATAGTAGCTAAACGATGGAACACTGTCCCGGAAATTTCGAAAATAATCTTCAATTTCCTGAAATTCAGATGAAGTTTTTTTTCTAACAAATATTTTAATAAACATCATCATTACATGTACTACGGCAATCAATGTTTTGATATTCATTCTAAAAAGCACATCAAAATATGTTTCCGTTTATCTTTTTTAAATCTCTTAAACCTTTTTTTATCATTATCATAACTATTAAGGTATGTCTAGTCTTACAAACATTTCTGTCAAATTTAGAATTTCTATAATTATAATTTGATTCAACAATTAAATAGTAACTAAAAAGCAAGCAATATTATGCATTCGCATGCTTATTGTCATACATCCTGTTCCAGATATCAAATATCAAAGTAGAACATAACCGCCAAAATTTAGCATATAGAAGTATGGTCCCATATTTCAGTTAGCTGTGCACCAAAACACATCATAAATAGATCAAAACTCAAAGATATCAAATGTATTTATTTGCTTTTGGAATTTTTGTCTGGAAAATAAATTGATGTTGAATTTACCCCCTTCCTTTAGAAAAAAAATCACATAATACTTTAGTTTGATAACTTCTCAAGATATAAACTGTTATAGGCCTATGCCATTTTTTCCTTAAAAATTATTTTGAATATTATCTCATGTTAACATTTTTTTATAGTTGACTAAATAAATTCTAAATGAGAGTGTTATGAATGTGTACATTCCCATTTTTAGAATATCACGTTCTATATAAAAAAAAAAGTGGAAAGAACGTAATATAAAAATATGGTAGAATTGTGAAATAAGTTTAAAATAGATTCCAGGTCCATTTGGAAGAAAAATACTAAAATTTTGGTCCGTGCGGGCAATTATGAATTTTGTTTCAGTATGTGTGTATATTAAATGGTATAGATCCAATGGACAGGGAGTAAAATATTTATTCACAAAACTAATATATATTAAATGTCTTAAATGCAGAATGGACTGAAACTAAATAATAACATACTTGCAAAATTGTTAACCATTATCTTAAATAATTTCAATAAAAAAATATACAATGAGAATTTTAAAATTCTTACATTATAATAAAACGGGGTCCTTAAAAAGTTAATTGACCATCCGCAATGAAATGATAGAATTAGTAAAACTCTTTTTTAATTAAAAGTCTAATATGTTTCTTAGATAATGACCAGTAGCCCTTTTCACAAAAAATCTTACGGCATATTTTTATCTTAATTGAAAAACCTACGATAAAAGACGTTTTCACAAAAAAATCTTAACGATGTAATTGTTAAAATGTAGCTACCACATCAAAATACTCGTTAAATAAAACTTTTAAAAGTAACTTCCAATACTATTTTAAATCTTTTTTACACTAATTTTGGAAAAATGAAATGAAATACACTACAAAATCTTTAAGTTCTACTTAAGATTTTTGTTTGACCTACTTTTATGTCAGACTTGTGATTGTGACGTGACGTCAAATTTCAAATTTCTTGCTTAAAAAAAATCGATTACCCTTGTTATTTGTTGTCAATAACATTTGTTTTTGCTGATAAATAATGAAACTTAGTTATGATTTAATTATTATCTACTTATTTAAAGATTACTATTATAAAGCACATTTAGACTTTTGCTAAGGACGAATTCTAGGCTATCGTAAGTAAAATCAAAAGCAGTTAAGATTTGTTGCAAGAGATTCGTTACTTTACATTAAGCAAAAACTTAAGATTTTTGTGAAAAGGGCTGCAGATTTGCATTTTTGAGTTTGGTTGTGGTTAGAATTTATTCAACTGAATTCTTTAGTTTAACAAGTAATTTGTATACTTCTCTGCTTTTCTTTTCTGTGTGTGTTGCCACAATAATCAAAGGCACAATCTTTCCTTTTGTCTGCTTTTCTCGATCTACAGTCTTAGGTACACCAATCGTATGAGTAAAAATTGAGCGCAGCCAATATTCTGTGAAATCTGAAACAAGTATTTAAATTCATGTTCTTGCTGTTTTGAACAACTAACAAATACAATCTACAAAAAAATTAATCTAGATATAGGCGTACATAATTGAGTACTTCACATTATTTTTGTAGACATCGCTATAACAAACCAGACTGGCCGACTCGGCTCGCGATGGTCCCAGTTCATTTTATATTTATAAGGTTTAAACATCAAAATTTGAACGGCAGTAAGTAGGGTTAAGAAGTTACGTGGTAGTAACTTATTGTTAATTTAGTTTGTGCATTTCATGATTTAAAAAGCTTTTTCTATGTGCGATGGAAGGGACAAAGCTTCCCGAAATTTACAAAGTAGAGCAAGTCAGGTGTGCCGTCTGTACTCCACTTTAGATTAGAAGTGTTTGTCACTCGTTAATGTCAAGGACGAATTTTTTCGTTGTCTATCTGTCTTAATTATGTTTGTTGACATTCATTTTCCAAAAAAAAAAATTTGCTTAAGTTTTGTAAATGTTTCTTTTTATGAAAATTTATTGATATGCAGACTTATACTCTTGTGCCCACAATCTTATCAATTAAGTATTTTGCATTTTCGTCATTTGTTTTATTTTCAAATCACTATTTATTGGCTTCATCCGCTATGCAAATTATCCAACGTTTCCAACTTATATCCCACGTTTCTAACTATCATTGATGCCCCATAAACTAGACAATGGTCCCGTCGATCAATTTCTCTGTAACCTTGTGCATGCAGAGAAATTCACTTTTATTTTGCCAGCAAGACATCATTTTATTTTTATTTTTCTAGACAATGTTTAAGACATGCTTATTAATACTATAACATTACCTCCATAAGTCCATTTTGAGAATGATGCAGTTCCTGTTTTCCGAACTTTCTTTATATCTTTTTCCACAACTTCTTTAAAAGATTTCTGTATGTCTTGCACATATATATACATGTCTGATGGTCCAAAATATACACTATGACAAGCATAATATGAAAATTGTCCTGCAAAATCAAAGAAACTGATCACTTCAGAAACTTCATCTAAATTAAAACAACTGGAAAGTGTCTTTAGTGTGTTGTCGGTTGTATTTCTTTCATTACTGTTGGGACATTCTTCCATTGCTTTATTTTCAATCTTGATACCATGATCACTTTCACAGCTCGGGAACCTTTCATTTGTTTCATTTATAATCATTTTCTTTGCAATTCTTTCTGATCCTTTTTTCTTAATTTTGTCTTCTTCTTCTACTTTTTCTTCTTTATCTTCTTCTACATCTTCTATGACTTTTTCGTTTTGAGGAGACTCCTTTACATCTCTTTTGATGTGTTTCGTGAAGTGTTGATCTTTATCCAAGTTTTTCTTTTCTTCCTTCTGGTCTTTGTTTAATACTTTTGGTTTTACATCAATATTTTTGTCCCCCATTTGTTGATTCCCTAGTTTCTCCTGTATGCCTAGTTTTGATACTAAGCCTGGATACTGTTTATCTTCAAGAACTTATAACGAAAATCCATTTTTATAATGCAGTGTCATTATATACTCTCATAAACATGTAGTAAACATTATCATATTAAAAATTACCTTGTAAGTCATTGTTCTGGACAGCAAATAGATTTGTACGAACATCTATTCCTCTTGTAGGTTCTGTCACTGGTTTTTTCTCACCCATCAATCGATGTAATAATGTTGTCTTTCCAACTCCTTCGCATCCAACCAGCATACATCGTGCATGAAAAATTGTATGTTCCCTTTGTTCAAGATCACGAAGATACTGCTGCACTCCTCCAAATCCTAACTGAAGTACTCCCCTTGGCAGATCAACTTAAAACGATAAAATAATAAAAAGACACTTTAAAAACTTTGCCCCTAAAAAGAAAATCAAAATACATACATTTGAAATATATTTAATCAAAAAGATATGAAAAAAGGATATTTTTAAAAGTATTCTAGAGTAAATTAGTTCAGAAAGAAGTCATGATTATTTCAGTTATTTGAAACAATCTATCTACCTCTCAATTGTCACTTTCATTAGTTTTTGAAAGGTAAAACATGTAGTCACGTATGATTCAAGATAGAATTGAAAAATAAATGTAGTTGCATTTAACCGAATGTCTGTTTAGTGTTCTCAAAGACCCATCCACCCCCTCAAAAAAGAGATATGTTGAATTAATAAAGATTTAAATTACTTCAAAATGCAACATTGAAGTTTTTTGTCTTACTTTATAAAAACGAAAAGTATAAACACACTAGCATTTAACATAATGATAGATTGTACTTCCTGACAAAGTCATTGTAACACGCATAGACCGTGCAAAATGTTGACATAAAAAGATACTCTTGATACCCTTTTTTCATCAAATAGTTTGACAATAGCTTACAGTTGTAGAAGCAAGTATGATTTTTGCATCTGAGGATAGAGAGATTAAAGTCATAAGGTTGATCATAAGAATGTGTAGTTAAGTTATCTTTAAGGTCTTTTTTGGTAAATAATTTACCATTAAGGTCTTCTATAGTAGATTTTTAAAAGAAATTGATCGGTCAGACTGCATGATATCTGTGAAGGAAATATATCAGGTCAACATATGAAACAAGTTCTTTTGACCCCAGTTCAAGTTCACCGGGTTAAAAATAGACACCAGTTGTGAGCAAAATTTTTGTTAACATTTTTTTTTATTTGTTCATTTATTTTCAATAAAAAATATTTTTGAGAATGAGTACATGTAAAAGTGGGTAGCAGGTTGAATGTATTTCCAAAGCATATATGTGTTTCAAATTGGAATTTCCCGTTCTATATTTAGATCAATGAACGTGCAAATTTGCTAAAAAAAAATATCTACAGTTAAAAAAAAATCCAGATTAACGGTATTGTAAAACAAAAAATGCCATTAAATTCCAAGGTAGAAAGAGTTTTTGGACAATTTAAAATTTGTTTTCAAATATTTTTGTAAAAATCGCGGTTTTGAACCAGGGTTTAAATTTCAGAATTTTTCCGTCGATAATACTTTTGAACATTTTCCATAAAAGATGGGGACAGGAATACTAGATCATATTTTGTCATCTTATAATGTTGATTTCACATGAGGTCAGTTCAAATGGGCAATAAGAACAAGAGGAGCTAGCTGATAATGAACAAAAAAGACAAAGAAAAGGAAGAGGTTTAAAAATCACCCTACTTTTCAAAAGAGGGTGAACAATAAGCAGTTTCTGATGGCGATTATTGAAACACATCCTTGAATCAGAAGCTTCATAAGAGATATAAAGTTGGTGAGCACTGGTATTTACTTTGGACAATTAAATGCATTAAAATTCATATGATCCTTTGTTTCTCATAAAATCATTCAAATACGACTTACGCTTTCTTTCAAGAATTCCATGCACTGTAGTATCGGTTACTGAAGGATTCCCAAGAATGCTAAACTTAACTCGATCTACCAATGTCTCGAATTGACTTGGATCTAAGAAGCAGCAAATCTCATCCACTTTCACTTTATAAGAAGAGGATCTACAAAATCTATTTGCATTCTCTGCATCTGCATTATGTAAGAAAAAGTTTACAAAATGTTTTCTTTTTCCGAATGCCTGAAATGCACTCTCTACAGATGTCGGAGAAATAACGTCTTTCCAAAGTAAAAATTCACTCCATTGGCTTTGATGTTGCTCTATTGCGGTCCCAAGAGAATCTAGACATTCATCTGTCGGACTTCCAAAGGCACAGAATTGCCATGCCAATTTATACGTCTGCTTTCGAACAAGGGTCCTTTGGTACTTACTTTGAAATGTTTTTTGTAGAAGAAGGTAACAAAGAAGTGATTGTTCCTCAGCCGGCATCAAAAACGTTGAATCTGCTCACATTAAAAATATGATATATGTATAATCTATGTCTCTGCTTGGCACATATTTGTCAAAATAAATCACTTTCATTAATCCATCTATAATAACTGATGGTGTAATTGATTATTTTTATAATCAAGCATTTATTGATTTAAATATCTATTTAGTTTATTGAATAAATACTATTTACTTATCAATGTCCCTGTTTTCCAATTAATTTGAAATATGGAATAGAACAATTTTCGAAAAATGAAAGGATAGGGAACAATTTTAGTATCCATAGAATAATAGTCCGACATATCTAATCTTTATACCTCACAATTATCTATTAGATGAATAAATGTACCTATTTCACGATATTCTGTAGTGTTTCCAAAAGGACTCGTTACTGTAAGCTCGTATTTTCCTTTGTCTAGTGACTCAAGTTTTTTAATTGTAAAGGATGATTTTGAACCAATACTTGATTGGTACTTGTTACTCTCTAGATCTAATAAAACGCCATCCTTTCTCCACATGACCGATAGAAGTTCTTGACTAGATTCCCATTCGTTTATGAAAAACTCAATACGCAGGTCTTCGTTGATTCTTCGAAAGTCATTCATTTCTACTTGAGGTTTCTCTGGCAAAATAGATTTATTGTAGAATTTTATTAAGAGGATGACATATGAAGAAAATACCCCTTGGTATAAAAAAAATTAAGGCAACAATGTATTTTTCAGCTTAATCCTTTGAATGAAATTGTGTTAAAAAGAACTTTGAAAAATATTACCTTGTTTTAGAAGCAATGTAAAATCGTTATTTACATGTACCACCTTCCTTTTTTAATTCAGAAATGAATTTAATTTTTGAAGATTCATGAAGTTATGAACTACAACGCTTCACGCCGGCATATTTCATGAAACACGTTATTGCTTCATGATAAATATGCCGGTGTGAAGCGTTGTAGTTCATATACCTCATGAATCTTCAAAAATTAAATTCCTTTCTTATATTTACATTATTTTTCTGATGACTTGCCATAACTTTACTCCGTTCAACTGTCATTTTCAAAACAAAACAGTATGCACTATATTTTTTGACGTCAAGAGCGGTATTATGATGCAACAATGGAGATATTCATGCTTATTCGTGGTACATACCTAATGAAGTTCATGAGAAAAAGGACTGCATTTTTTTGTAAAGAATCATAAGGGAAATAAAATGGAAATGTAAATAATTAAGAATATACATACCGAGACTAATTTTAGAAATTACTCTCCCTAAGGGATGATTAAGTATACATTCGTATGTGCCTTGGGTATTGGCAGTAGGAAGACGTATTGTGGAGCTTGGACTTCCAAACGTATTAAACAAGATTGTGCTTTCATTCCCTATTGCACATTCATCTTTCTTCCACGATAAATTAGAAGACATCATCGGTGTATCTGCCAGCTGGATGCTACTTATCAAAATAATATTTTCAGCTTCTTCTTTCGCTTTCACTCTCATTGTTGGAGGCTCTAAAAAGATTATAAGATTGAATAGATAGTGAGAAAATATCCTATATTTAGACAAGGAAGACTTTTATTTTCAAAGATTTTACACTAGAATCTAACTAGGTTTTTTTACCTAGATAAAATATTTTTTCGTCTTTTCCAAATATATTCTTAGTGATGAGCGTCCATTTTCCCGCGTCATTTGTGTCTGCGTTTGGAATGACAAGTGACGGATCATGTAAACCACCTCCTAAATATCTGCCACCACAACTTAGTTGCATATCTTTCTTTAACCATCGTACTGACGTTATGTTTTTACACTGCTCTGGAATCTCAATAGAGTATTCAATGTGTACAGCAGTTTCTTTGACAGACACACCAAACCCCCTTATCATAGGAGACCCTGCAATATATTTACAACATGTTATTCTTTTTAAAAATGTTGAAATCGTTTAAAAATAGCAAAAATTAAATGAAGCATTGTCTGAATTTTAGAAGAGTGAGAATTTGAAAAAAAATGTCATATGTAATTAGTTTTTAGCTCACCTGAAATGAAGGGCCAAACCAAATTATTATTTAAGGAGAAATAATTGGCATGTTTTAAGAATCTTCTTCTCAAGAACCACTGTGCCAGGAAAGATGAAACTTACAGGAAAACATCCTCAGGTAGTGTAGATTCAAGTTTGTTCAATGGCCGATCAAAGTTTTACATAGACATATATTAGGAAATTCTTAAAGAATCATCTTCTCAAGAATAGCAAAGCCACGATTGGTCATGGGACCACTTTTGGATTTAAACTTTTCAATAATAAACCAATTTCTACTTTTCCTAACCACAATGCTCAGGTAAGCGATGTGGCCCATGGGCCTCTTGGTTTGAAACACAGGAGCAGAGAAGAAAAAAAATCAAAGAATTTAAGCATTTTTACTACAATAATATTTTTCACTACAATACTACAATATCAATTTAGCCCCGCCCTAAATTTGAAACCACGGATCCCTGGGCTATGAAAATCAAATTCTGGATGATGTATCCTCACTATATTACGTAACTATATGTTTAAAGTTAATTTTGATTAAAATTTAAAAAAAAAACTTACGAAGTTCCATTTTGTGTTCAGCATTTCCAAAGGTATTTGATAAAAAGCAATGATAGTGTCCTTGATCCTCTTCGGAAATGTTCATAATTATAAATGTTAATTCTTCTCCATTCTTTTGTTTTGTGTATCTTTCGGACATCAGTAATTCGTTTTCACCTTTTCTGAACGTAATTGACGTTATGTTTGACGGACAGATTCTGTATTTCATTTTTAAGTGTTCACCTTCAATCTCCAAGCCAGTGAAAGATATTTTTGGAACACATGGATTTGAGTCCATCGAAGCTATGAATAAAGTACGTTTATCGTTAACTAATTTACAATATTTATTGTAATGGATGGGTATTGATTAATCCTTACACCTACAAATTGAGATTAATTGTTATATGTACATGCAGAATGACCCATCTTTGATGGTCGATATACTTGTATAAATGTCAACAGAAAATCATAGCAAGAAGCTACTGTATTAAAAAAATTATTCTACAGAACAAAAAGTGACCATTTCAATTATATCAGAGTGTTTGAATCAAGTTTGATAATTCATTTTTTAAATTATGTCTCTATTCTTGTTATATCACTTCGAAGTAAAATTTTAAGCAAATGAAGACTGATTCTTTGAAAAGATGATGTTCTTTCAATTAAAGTGCAACTAAAATTTTCTTACCTGATTGCTTTCCATAAAGCATATCCTTAATTTCTTTTAGACTTTCTGCAATTTCTGCACCTAAAAAAAACATTTTTTTTTATTTAAGTATTATGATTTTTTTTTTCTGAAAACTTAATTGTACAGTATTTAACACATTCCAAAATCAAAACAGAAAATCTTTTTTCTGCTAATTAAATGCTAATTTTCACTATCTTTCTAATAAATATCATCTAAAATTCTGGGGTTTTTTTGTTTGATTTTGTCAATACCTTAGGGAAAAATGCTTAAAACAGAAAAAAAGATTTTCTGTTTTGATTTTGGAATGCGTTATTTATACTTCGCAACAATAATCATCACCTTGTATTGATTCTCTTTCTTTCAAAAGTTTTGAATACTGCTGTTCATAAATGGGTACCATTTCCAGATTTGGGTCTTTAGTGCACATGTCATCAACTTTCTTTACATAAATGTCGTTGTTATCAAGAAAACTGTCCAATTCTTTAATTGCTACTCTGACATTGGAACACCATTCTTCTAACTCGGTGCTGGATAATGAGAAATTTGAATGATGGCAAATATTGTTGCGTGCTAGGTGAATTCTCTCAATACTAGCAGAGACAGAATTATCGGCAGCATCGGGAGGTTTGTTCCATCCTTTCCTTGGCGGGGGTAGATCACAGATGTTCCGTAAAAGAATGTAAAGCAACGAGATGTCAAAATCCACATAATTGCCCTTATATTCACAATTTTTTGGAAAAATAAGGTTAGAGTTATCAACATTAAGAAGTGGTTGAATAATGTGTCTTTTCTCTTTTGAAATTGCTGCAAAACGTTTTGTTGGAATCTTTCTGCGTAAAACATCTCGAAGTTGGTCTGTACAGGGCCCCAAAAGAAGGCTAAATGCTAATGCGGCATTTGTTTTATCTTCGGAAACTAAACTCATCTTAATTATTTCTCTAAAAAAAAGATTTTAGATCAACAGAAAAATAATTTGAATAGGGAAAATATTGTAATATATGAGGATATATTAAAGAGTAGTTTAGATTGTGCAAAGCGCTCTCAAAATTTACATGTATATGCTAATTTAATAGTTAATCTTTTTTTACTACTCACAAGATGTTCTAACTGCAATCAAACATTTGTTTTACTTTTTAATGACTTTAATAGGGGACTTTTTTGTCTACCATAGCTCTAAAGCATTCGAAGAAGTTTATAGTCGATAGATTGTTTTGAGAAAGTACATAGAGGGTGGACCCAAAGGCCACAGATTTATAATGCATTAAGGTATATGAACCCTCCTGTGATGTCCCAGCTTTTGATAAATTGTTATAAATCTAAATTCATCCCCATTTTCTTTTCACTAATGGAATTTCAATTGGTGTAATGAACATAATTTTAAGTAAAATTATTATAAAAATTTTTTCTCGTTTTATCAATCTATTCTATCTTTAAAAACTGTTGTCAAGGGCAAAACCTGTAACTCTCTATGTATTCAGTCATTTTCGTTATTGTAAATATTATGTAAAATTCTTTACCTGATATTCACAATTCTAAAATCTTAAGAAGTATCAATTTCCTTCAAAACTTTTAGAATCAGAATTATGCATTTAAACCAGTTTTTATGTAGCTTTTATACCAATGTTCACTAAAAATGAATTTTTTTATGCTGTATCCCTATCTTACTTTTAAAAGCATCTTTCAAAAAAACATAATTAAAATACCATTTGATTTTGTGTAATAATTCATGAGTTTTTTGAAGCTCACATGACGATATCCCCAAAAGTGTAAATCGAAAACTCTCATTATCTTCAATGTTTTTTTTTTCCGCGCATCTGTCAGAGCATTATTTCTCCTTTGCTTGGAATTCGCCAGAGTGTTTATCTTTTAAACCTTGGCTATATTGGGCATGGGTAACCACGCCAAAAAAATAGTCAAAAGACGCGCGCATGCTCCAGTGAGAGGTACACAACAGTAAGTTGAACGGCTCAAAAACCAAATTGCGGAATTGTTTTCTTTTATTTTTCGTGTGAATGTAATGATTAAAAAAAGTCTACTGTGTAAATTGCGGTTTTTGTGGTAGTAAGGTGGCGATTTAAGAGATGACAGGACGAATAACACGGTCGTAAATGACTCTGTTTCGCGTTAACGTCACCGTCATGGTTGATTGAAAAGCATTCCAGGCCCTCTCTAACAATGGGTAACAAGTTTTATGGAGGAAAATTTACATTAAACTGCTTAGTTACCCGTTGCTTTCCTTTTCATTAATTAGACAGTTCGAAAACAAGACCCCTTGAAACTTCCGTAAACTGTACCAAGATTGCGAGAAATTCATATCGTCTTTATAAATATTTAAAAACGATGTGTTACCTCAGGTGCATTAAATGGTGCAAGACGATTTGTTAAGAAACACGTCGTCATCAAATTGCACGTGTTTGTGATTTTTAGCGTTTCCCCTACAGGACGTCATACATTTACGGTTAAGTAATTCTAATCACTGATTAGGTTGCATAGCAACTAAATTTCTCATCTGACAAATTTTCGTATTTCGATCATGCGGTCACATTCTGCTTTTCGATTATGCTACCCTGCGTTTCTTTTTACGTGGCATTACGTATTTATACCATTAGTCCATGAGCCAAGCCATGAATTTTTCGGTATCGGTACCATCTCGGGTGAATAATTTTATAGTTATTTTTTGAAGGACATACATCTCTACCTTCAGAAAATGTATGATAGCATTCAATTGCTTGTGGCTTTAATGGTGTATCAACCGTTTATATACACCAACCCAACTTGTTCGTTCTCTCAGCCGTGTCTTTGAAAGGAGAAGGTTGGTTTTTCAATATGCAATTTCTATCTTATTTTGAATGATGTTTTCTTGAAATTTTTTTGAATGCAGACCAAGCCTTTACCCTTTTCAATTATCATTCAATATTGGCTCTGTAATGAGCCGTCTAAATTATATAGGAATATAATTCTACCCTTGATCATAAAAGTGAAATATGCGATTTTGACATTTTTATCAGCTGAAAGAAATTACACACGTCAAAAACATATTGCACGGTCATTTACTTAAAGAATTTTTATCACGTATTAGCATTTTAAAATAACATTTCAGTAACAAATATATATAAAATGATTTCATAGTTAGTTTTTATCCCTATACTAAAATGAAAATTGAAGAAAAATTCCCTTGATTTACCCTGTGTGTATGTTCTTTACTTAAAAAGATAATGTGAATTTGTCAGGTCGCAAGTAGAGCCTTTACGTAAAATGTTTTATTTATTAAATCTCAAGCTAAACCATGGTGATAATGGACACTTGTATGTTCTTCTAAGTTCAACGTGCAATTTGTTACAGATTTTTGACATCAAAATTAAGCAACATATGTGCACGCGGTTATCTGTTTCAATATGTATGTGCTTTGTGGGCAGTGTGCAATGGCCTGACGCCCCTTCCCTCCACTAGTCCGGGTAGAAGGAACCCGTGCCCTCTTCAGGGAATCTTCTAGGAGAGCACTCTCTACACAAAGCTCTGAAGGGTCTCAAACCCCAGTTAATAGAGGGATTGCCTACCTATTACGAATGCACCGGCGGACTCTGCGGAGGAAACCGTCATGGTTCAATGGAGAAGACAGACACAGCAAGCACCGTGGGATGCTTGGAGCAAGACAAGGAACATATATCACGTCGAGGTAATCCACTGCATTTGTCTTCATTTCCAGACGTCCTGATATTTGTCTTGCCACTAGATCTAGATGGTTGCGGGCGAGAAAGTGAGGTTCGCGACGCGCAACCCTTCTTCACTTTAATCAAACTTATCACGCAAGTCATTGTTCATCTTCCATCCCTTCTATCATCCACCCCAAAGCCCTGTGGCGACAGGTTAGGAACGAAGATGACAGGTGCTGGTTCACTGGAATTCGCTAGTCGCGGACCTTCACACAGGCGGCACAGGCCATAGGATTGCTCTTCACCGACCGGAGCAGCGTTGGAGGTCGGCAGCCACCTGTGCGACTGAGCAACTCTCTTTAGGAACGCACTGCACCAACTATGGCAAAGAAGAACCGATTAGAAAAGGTATCCCAAACATTGCCTGCTCCACCTTTCCCTCGCCAGTTTACCGCGGCTGGTGGGGACTCTACAAATGCGATCGAAATAACAAAGAGAGCAGGAAGAAAACAACGATCATCCTACTGAACCTTGGATAATGGAATGTTTGAACGCTTTTCAGACCCCAGAGATGCACAGCACTGAATGCATGCAAACTCGCGAGATATGGCATTGACATCGCGGCTCTCAGTGAAACCAGGAAGGAGGTGACAAGGATAAACGATAAACTTGCATAGGATTTGCTATAAAGACGACGCTTGCTGGCAAGCTAGTCGGCGTACCAAAAGGAGTGAACGACCGCCTGATGACAATGAAACCCTCTCACTCGAGGATAGTTCGCCGCTATTTTCAGCGCATATGTTTCTACCCTCACTAACCTAGAGGAGGCTAAACAAGTTCTATGAGAACCTCAAAAATGTCACCAACACCGTCCCCAACGCCGACAAGCTCGTTATTCTTGGTAACTTTAATTCGAGACTTGGACGTTACATCACCACGGAGGAAAAGCGTGATTGGGAAACACGGAGTGGGCAAGTACAACAGTGACGGTCTTTTGCTTCTTCAGACCTGCGCTGAACATGGCCTTCTCATCACTAACCGTTTTCTGCCTTCCCATCTGTAACAAGACGTCATTGATGCACCCTCGCTCAAAGCACTAGCATCTCATTGACTACGTCATTGTCAGGAAGATAGACAGACAGAAAGTTCGTTTGTTCACCAAGGCTTTGTACGGCACGGAGTGCTGGACAGATCATGGTCTCATCGTCTTTAAACTTCAACTCTCATCTTCTGGATCAAACACAGGATACGTCCTCAGGGGATTGAGGCTTCAAATCGTCTCAACGTTGGCAAGCTCATGTTGCCTTCCACCTCAGTACTTTGCTGACGCCGTGGAAGAATGCCTGAAATCCACCCTGCTGGATGACCACGACGTGGAAGCAGCACACTCCGTAATACAGAGAAAATACAGCCTTCGAGTGTCTTGGGCCCTCCACAAAAAACACTGGATTGATGAAAACCATGCTGAGATCACGCACCTTCTAGAGAACAAACATCGCGCTTACTTGTACAAGGCTCTTATAGATGAGCCCACCTCCACAGCAAAAAGACGCTCTGATGAACGTTCGAAACCCAGTACAGCAATAGCTTCGGGATATTCGAGACTCCTGGCTGAATGCCAAGGTTGACGAGATCCATCGTTACGCAGAATATCATGACAAGAAGAACTTTTACTATGGACTGGGGGAAGTCTTCGGGCCAAGTCCATCAGGCTCATCCCCTCTCCTCAGTGATGACTGACTAACACTCGTCGCAGAGAAGGAAAAGATACTCTACAGGTAGGCGGAACAATTTAATGGCGTTCTGAACCGCCCTTTTACAATCAACGACGAAGCCATCAACCGACTGCCCAGGTTCCCATCAACCAGTCACTAGACACCGTTCCCAGGCTGGATGAGATCAAAAAAGCAATTAATTTGCTGTCAACTGGCAAAACACTCCAAAATACTCCATCCCAGCTGAGATTTACAAAGAAGGAGGCATGGCTCTAGTCGAAAAGGTCCTTCAACTGTGCGATGATTGGCCTGACCAGTCACCTCTGAGCACACTGTCCAGGTCAACCCCCTCCTTCACGAAGATGAGACAGCGGTCATCGTCGTCATCGACCGACGAATAACTAAACTAGTATATGCGTGTTGGTACTCATCTTTTTCGTTATACAAATTTATGAAGTACAAGTAATTGTTGGATAAAAGTGGTAAAATTATGCAATTTTTGTTAGAATAAGTCTAGTAACTCAGTTAATGTTCTTTTAATATGTTCATCATATGTCTGAGTAATTCTGGTAGAACTTTCTATCACGGTTGGCAACTGTGTGACAAATACTTTGCAGGTAGCAAATATATTTAGCTCAAAATACCTAATTTGAGTAAATAAAGGGCAATAAATGTGTCTCCAGCATTGAAGCCACAACAGATTTGATGCTATCATACATTTTCTCACTAGTTAGGGGTATACCTTACCAAATATCACTATAAAGTTTATTCACCCAAAATGGTACCGACCATCCCCAGTGGCTCATGGACTACATGATTCTTCCAGTTTTTCAGCTTCCGTTAGTGTTGTTAATGCTGCAAGTGTTATAAACAAAAACCATTATGTGCGAAATAAAACGATCACATATCTTAATTAACAACGTGTTAAAACACATTTCACTAAAAATAACAGATACTGTAGCTTTAACGGGGTCTTTCATGTGTTTTTTTGCATTCTCATTTTACTTCCAAGACCTCAGTTTAACCACTTCCCATTTATCCTAAATTTAAGCGTTCCTATTTAATCATTCGATTTCCTTTATTGTACTCTATCGGTATCTATATTTTTTAATTATTGCTCAACTTCCAATTCAATCATATCTACTTGAATAAATTTTGTTCACCCTCTCCATTGTTTTCAAACCGTGTTCCTACTAAAAGCGTTTTGAAGCTCGACTGTCTCTTTCCATCTAAAAATAAATACAGCGAATACTTGCGAAATACCGGTAAAGTTTTCAATAGCTTGTCGGATAGCTCAATGGGGTATTAATTTGGTCTAACAAGTATCACATTAGGTTTGAATCTAGGTCAAAACTATGTATGATTAAATTTTACAGGTAAATTTGAGTTGATTTAAATGTTGTATGAACCCACATGTACGTGTATGTGCCAAAGTGTTCTGCTGTTAATAAATGCAACACTTTTTATACTTGGATTTTTTTGCAGAATTAGAGAATGACAGCCCTCTTTTCCAATCTTTCTAAAGGTATTGTTTAACAAAGTCAGGAAGTTAGCTTCCCACTCCAAGTTTTCTGACTTTATGGATTATAAATAAACATCCATACAATTAGAATAATATTATAGATAAAAAAAATCAATAACACATATAACATGTATTGAATTATTTGTGATAAATATTTCTACACCCTAAAAAATCTTATATTTGAATTGATTAAGAACTTGTTTTACAAAAGAACTTACGAGTAAGACCGGGTACTTTACATTGATTTAATTCTTATTTAATTATTTCGTATTTTAAAGAAATGGAACCTAATGGAAATTTTATACAAGCAAAATCTTACACTTTGAGAATTTTTCAGCGTGAGAGTAAAGAGGTTTTATTTTTAAATCTTAATAAGTCTAGCAGGATAATAAAATCAACCATATTATCATGGATAATGAGATTTTTATGTACGACAAATAGTGTACTCAAAGTTTTGGAAATACAAATGTATTTAAATGCTGGATCGAGCAATTTTAAACAGTTTAATCTAAAGGAACTAGTGCTATTGTTTACTATCATTTTGCCCTGGAGAGAAATTTTACTCTTTGATATGAAATAACGTCATGGAAATAGGTTTTTATGGGTTTTTAATGCTGGAAGTGACAAGAGTTTGAAGCGATTAGAAAGGATGGTATGCAGAAGATTAATGCATTACTGAAGAGCTAGAGTACAGTTTTACGGAAAAAAATATTTGCAATTAAAGAAAAAAGGTTTTTACAGAGTAACACTTTTGCACCTACATGTGGCTTCATACAACATTGAAATCAACACATACCTACCTGTAAAATCTAATGATAGACCTAATTAAATACCCTTGAGCTATTCAGCTATCTATTGAAAAAATTTCCGGTATTTCATAATTTGCTGTAAAACAATATACAAGACAAGATTAGAAATGTAACCTCTTTTTCCGATTTGAAAAAGTAAGAAATGGCATAGGTTACCTCTTAACATATATATTTTTTTATTATGTCTATGTCTGCATATTACATTTAATCTGACTTTAATAATCAAGGGAAGAAATGTGCAGTCTCAAGAGCAATTGTATTTTTTAATCATTATCATGGATTCATGAAATATAATAATATAATTTTTTACATCCTACGTTATCAATTATTTTATCAGTACTGAAAGAATGATATTATCCTCTAAACTCATTGACTAAAAATAGATTTTTTTTCTTACATACCAAATCCCTTCTTTCTCTATACTAACGTCGTTCAAAATGGCTACCGATATTTAACAAAACATCCACTTGAAGTTAGATCAATGATAACCCATATCGTATTAAATGTGTGTCACCTATTATTAAAGATAGAAAAAATCCTGTATTACGCAAGCGTTTTGGTAACAAGATATTATTAACTACTTGTTTATTTATAGACATGGTTTTCCTCTAACGAATAAAAGTTACACTTTGTGTCGAATGAGATACGCGCAATTCATACTCATTTAGGGATTTCAATCCCTAATGGGACCAAATTCTCTACCCTTAAATGTCCGTCAAGTACACAATACTCTGATATTATGTTAAAGCATTTTATAGTGGAAAAGGATTGCCCACGAGAAATTTTCAAAAATTTCATTAATTAAGCAGTAGTTAATTAACAAAGATTGCATTCAAGTCTTTGGGAAAAAGCGTTTTTTCAAAATAAAAATTCAAATAATTTGAATATCAATAAATCCTGCGGTGGAAAGATGCATTGAAACATTTAAAATAGAATGATAATTGAAAATAAATTTTTTACCAGCTAAAATATTTTAATTGATTTTTTTAATTAATTAAAAAAAGGGGAGATAACTCTTACCAAAATTCAAGGTCATGAATTAGGACACATCCCACTAAACATACTTATAGTAATAAATGGGAAGTATGTCTAAATAAACTGAGTATTCAATGCCTACATATCTGTTATGATTTCAATTTCATAGAATTTGTTCCTATTAGGGATTGAAGACCTTAATTATTGTATTAATCCTCTTTTACGGAATACTATTAGCATATCTATACTTTATTATTTGAATTATATTCATAAAAGTTGTAATTATGTTTTATTTATGGAATTAAGTCATCTGGCAATACAACTGTATTTAAAGCTATATAGAGAAAGGAGAGAACATTCATTAAAGATTGGAAATCAACTTTGGTATGTATGCCAATAACGATTTGTCAATTTATTAAGATATAATTAATGACCTTGAGACAGATTTAGAGGCGATTAGAAAATATGATTTAAAGGGGCATTTGTTTGGAAGTCATTGTAAGTAGATAGAAGATGGGGAGAAACCTACAAAATATTTTTGTGCCCGTGAAAAAAGAAGTTACTTCAACAAGAATATAAACAACTTAATCAATAATATAACACACAATAGAGATCTTGAAAAAAGAAGGAAACTTTTAGGGAAAAAAACTATATAAAGATATAGATTAAGAGCTTTATATCGTAAATCTTGAAGATATATTCAATACTGATATGAAAAGATTTTTAGATACTCATAGTTTCCTTTCTAAGGAAGAAATTGTTCAAAATCATATGTGTCAGTTTTGAATATTTTTTATATCCAAAAGAACCACTGATGTTTTGGATCTCCGTGCTTGCTCTGCTCCTGTTTTGTATTGTTTTAAGGACATTTGATCTTGAATACTGTTCGTTATCTCCATATGTTTCATGCTGAAATCACAATACAGGAAGAATTTCAAGCTCTTAAAATTTTAAAATGATAAAACCTCTGGGACTAAAGCTTTTACAGCAAAATGTTTAAATTTTTTTGGATAGATATTAATTCATATATGCTTAACTCATATTAATTACAGTTATGCAGTAGGTCAGCTATCTTACACTCAAAAGCTTGGGATAGTCTCTATTCTCCCAGAAGGCAACAAGTCAAGGGAACACTTTAAAAATTGGAGACCAGTTACATTAATAAATATTACAAATTTTTTTGAATCTCAAATGATTTGTAGTTGGATATGATTTATATCCATCCATATGTGTGTTTATGCCCCACGCCTTGGCAAAGTCTAACTACAGATCATGTGAGATTCCTTTTTATCCCATGTTTTATACACCAGAATCAATCTTTTACACGTTTATATGTAGTACTCCACTTCATTTTACTTCATCGCTCTAACGAAAATCCCATTGTGACGTCAAAAATGTGTGATACGAAAACGATATCATATGAGCTTATATGTCAACGGGATAAAGGGTTAAAGACGGGATAAAAACTTCTATCTAATGTTGTAGTCAATCGAATGAAACAGACCCTGTCAAAGGTAATACATGAAAATCAAAAAGGGTTTCTTGCTGGTAGATATATTGCTGAAAACTCAAGGTTATTATATGAAATTATTCACTACTGTAAAGAAAATGAGATATGGACATTTTCAAAAAACGATGGAATTTGATATTTTCATAGGAAAATTACGCATGTAAGTTAAGTTGTACAAATGCTATTCAATACAGAATTGCAGTTTCAGATGTGTTTTTTTTTTCAATTATGACAATATTGACATATATGATCTTTTGTTAGTTTTTGATATAAACATATGCATGTTATGTAGTGAATGATGAGTGAATGTGTTACTAAGAAGAAAAAATTTCGTTACATATGATAAGCTGTATACCAATTCCGAAATCTTATTACCTAAGTAAACCCAAGGCCCCAACCCCAACACTAAGTCATTGCACTTTGAAATAGGATAATAAAGAAAATGAAACAAAGGTTTCATAGTCAATGGGTTTTTTTATAATTCATTTTTTCATCTCAAACAAAATTTTGTTTTAATACAATATAATTATATAAAAGCAAAAGATTAAAATATTAAATCAGTTAGAAAGAAAAGGGTCCATGCAAGCTGAATTTAAAAAGTGAAATGAACATTTTTTTTGGGGGGGTGGGGGGGTGGGGATATTGGATTATGTTAATGTTATTCTCCCATTATAGATAGTATTATACTGAAGATAGATATTCACGCATATCATTTCAATGCCTTGTAAACAAGGTGTTTGTGAAACACTATGCGCCCGGCAGCAACAAAGTTCGAAAAAGCTAGTTTTAGCATGAACGTCACATTAAAGGTCACAAGGTTATTGACCTTGGTGTCATTTGAAAGAACTGTATTAGTGGAGTATGCAAACCAAATATGAAGTCTGCATCTTTAATGGTTTAAAAGTTATGGCTCAGGATAAAGCTTGCAGAAAAAAAGATATTTTTAGCATATAGGCCACTGTCAAGGTACATATAACAAGGTCATTGACCTTGCATGGTGTCATTTGAAAGAACTTAATTAGTGGAGTATGCATACAAAATATAAAGTCTCTATCTTTCATGGTTCAAAAGTTATGGTGAAGGTTGAAGTGTGCAAACAAACAAACAAACAAACAGACAGGCAGGACAAAACAATATTCGCCCCGGATCTGTCGATCCGGGCACATAAAAATGTCTTACATGTCGGCCACAAAAATTGATACATGTAGAATAATTGGAAAAAGAAAAGAACAAGGTCGTTGGTTCAAAGCAAAGTAAGGAAAATGGATAATTGCTTATAATTTAGCTAAAGCCATGTGTGACCGCAGGGAAATCGAGCTTGTATTTAAACTTCCCACCCCCCTTGGAAAGAGGTATTTGATGCGTTACATATTATTGTCAGTCAGTATGACTTCAGATTGGTATGGCGAATAGATCA